GTCTAGTTGCCTTTTTTTTTTTTTTCCTGAAACCTATCAGGCATGTTCAATAAAAGCCATCTTAAAAACTAACACAGCAGAAGAAAACAAACCATTCACGATTTTTGTGAATTTCAGTTTCCGGAAATTTACACGCATCCACACAGACACCGACAACTTTAACGCATTGATACACCTCCGATACAAACAACACGATCCGATACAAATCTGCTGGGAAACCAGAAGAAGCTTTTAGAGGGGAACAAGCTTCTTTTTTTTGTTAATTAAAACTTTTGAAAGACAAGACGACTAASGCAACCACCACCCCTGCCCAAGAGAAAGGGCTGAGCGCTGTCACCGGGGTGAGGGCGGCGGGGACGCCCTTTGGGGCCRGTCCTTGCCGCTGCCAGCCCGCGCCCGGCAATGGGAGGCTGGGGCAAAGGCGGCTCAGCCCGAGCACCTGCCWGGGCTGGGGGRGCTCTGGGTGCCCCGGCCGCTCCCGGCGCTGCCCCTTCCCGGCCCCGCCGGTGCCACCTCGCCCGGRGCGGCGGCTCCTGTGTCCCCATGGCTGGCGGAGGGCCGGGGGTGGCACAGGCTGCGCTGCCCTCGCCAACTTTGCTCGTGGGCGGGTGGGGCGGCTGCCCGCCGTCCGTCCGTCCATCCATCCATCCATCCGTGCATCCATCCATCCATCCGTCCATCCATCCATCCATCCATCCATCCATCCATCCATCCATCCATCCATCCATCCATCCATTCGCACCCCGCACCGCGGTGAGCGCGGCCGCGCGGTGCCAGGGCGAGACCGGCGCTCCCGGGGCGAGGAGGCGCTGCCGCACGGGACCACCTTAACGGGGAGACGGGGGGAATAACGGGGAAAAAAATAGAAATAAAAGAAAGGAAAATAAACAGAGCAGGGAAGGATGGCGAAAAGGGGGAACGGGATARAAAGGGGTCACCCGGCCGTGGCGCGGCTCACCTTCGTTGGCGGGGCGGGCGCTCAGACGGCCGGCAGCGCCGAGCGCAGCGCGAAGCAGCAGCAGGAGAAGCAGCAGCAGCAGCGGCGGCGGCGGTGGCGGCAGGCGGCGGTCCATGTCGGCGGGGCAGAGCGCAGGCACAGCCGCATCGCTCCGCGCAGCATGCCACCGCTCCGCGCCCGCTCCGCGCCGCC